AAGAAATAAAACACAACCAGTCATCTGCACTCCAATATTTATTGTGGCGCAATTCACAATTGCAAAGAGTTAGAAACAACCTAAATTTCCATCAATAGATGAGTGGATTAGGAAACTGGCACATACACACAATGGAACACTATGCAGCACTAAAAAGCAAGGACGATCACATGAAACACGTCGTTTCATGGAAAGAGTTGGAAGGAATTATGTTAAGCGAGGGAAGCCAATCTCAAAAGGACAAGTATAACATGAGGCCCCTGAGGTAAGTATAATCAACACAGCAGGAATAGAAGAAAAGACACTTATATCACAATATACGGGTAGAAGCTTAGGCAGTCGGGGTGGAGTTCAGACCAAACCCAGGGAGGAACATGTGAATCCAATATAAAAAGGGTAAAGAGGGAAGGAGGAGGGAGAGTGGGGGTGGGGAGAAACTGAGATGGTTACATGGGGGGAGCAGGGCACTAACCCACCAAGGGGGAGAGTATTGGTTGTGTCTCCACAGAATTGGAGAGAACATACAGACCCCATCACAGCGCGCCAAACTAGGAGGGCAACATAACATGTGGAGGAATGCATGAACAGACTAGACTACAGGGCCGGCCCCAACCAGAACCAGCCTGACCCCCATCCTGGAAGAGTGTGCCACAGAGAACAACACTAGACCTTCAGGTGGAGGAAAGGAACCAATTTACCATGCCCACATGGAAGCAAACCAGGAAGGAAAAAGAGAAAGGGGCAGTCGGCCTGGATCCCATATGGGCACACCAAGACCAGAGGATGAGGTCCCTGCACAGAGCTGCTAAGGCACAGAGAGGATTGTGGGACTGCCAACAACTCAAGACATGTTGTCCCCTAACTGGAGCATATAGAGACAGGGGACAGAAATGGGGACACACGGTGGGGAGACAGTGTGGGAATGGAGCATAAAAGATCAGCAATTGGAGTAAAGCCGAGCCCCAGAGCCCCTGAGGAGCCCCAAGAATGGACTTCAGGTGAGGAAGAGCAGCCCCTGGATCTCCCTCAGGACCAGGGGGGAGGGTCTCATGGGGACCAGCAAACAAACCTATGTAGGTTTATTTTCTTTTTCTTTCTCTTTTATTTTCCCTGATCAATTTCTCTTTTCTTTTCTTTCTTCAACTGTATGTTTTCTTATTGTTCAGACTAGGACATTGATGGTTTGCCTAATTATATGGGTTGGACATGGGAGGGAAACCCAGGGAGAAGGCAATGGGGCCAATGACTCCGGAAGGTAGAGGGGGAAGAATGAGATGGGGAGAAGGGTGTGGGGAGTGAACGGCGTCATGGACAGGGGAACAACTAGGGAAGCGGAACCAGCATCTAGGAGAGGGTAGAGATCCTGTGGTATTAGAGCAACACCAAGCTAGTAGAGAGGAAGCACTAAGACGTGGAAGAAGGGGAAAGTTATGGCGGGGCAGGAGGAGGCAAAAGGAAACAGAGGCAAGCTCTAGGAAGCAAAAGCACAGATAGGGAGATTAACAGAGGTGTGCACTTGTGCAAATACATTAATCCATAACAATAGTGGTATTGCCTTATGTACATATATTTATAAGGCAATACACTGAAGCTGCAGATGGGCCTGGGCCTCAGCTCATACCTTCCCTCAA